CACACACACACACACACACACACACACACACACACACACACACACACCATGCTCAGTTGGTAAAAGAAGAGTAAATGTTTGCTCTTTTGTTTGCCCTCCTACGTGACGAGTCAATACATCAGTATCAGGCGAAAAGAACGTGAAAAAAGATGCAAAAACCTACTTTTTGCTCACAGTCAGAGGGTTCACAACACAAAACAAGAACAAAATAAGAAACCGGCTTCGTTTACGCAAAGTGTAACGATAGAAAATTTTTTTTTTTTGTGTTTATTCCACACATTTTGAGTAACCAGTGTTTTTAGTGTGTTTTAGAAAAGACTTTGTCCCCGTCGACCTTTAGCCTCAGGCACTCTGATTTCCTCACAGATCGCCCAGCTGCACCAGGATCAGCTTTACTCCCCGCAGATTAAACAATAATTTCCCTCTACCTCTGCTTTTTTTTATTTACTTTTCTTTTTTTTTGCACCATTCATGCAACAATAAGAATAAAAAATAACTAGAGAATTTGCATTCCCTGTGAAAATGCAGTGTGAACGCTCTATGCTGAAAGATTTTTGCTGAAAGCTGCTGAAGAAGTTGAAAAAGTTTTAAAGAAAAACTGTTAAATTCCAACTGCTGAAGTTTGCTAAAAGTAGGACAAACAAAGTGAAAAAYCAGCAGAAAAATAGCTCAAAAYGTTGCAATTTGTTGTAAAATTACTAAAGCAGCTGAAAAAATTAGAAAATGGCTAAAAATATCTTTAAAGGCTGAAACTAACAAAAAGAAGCAGAAAGAAAACTTGTTTTGAATTAAACAGTAAAAAGCTGAAATTATCACAAAAAGTGAATTTAGCTGAAAATAGCTAAAAAGGCAGAAAACAGCTAAAATAAGCAGAAAAGACCCCCCAAGAATGAAAAGCTTAAATTGGTTGAAAGAAGCACAAAAAGTTAAAATTATSACRTTTAACTAAAAARGCAGAAAAAAAGGGAAAAAGTAGTTTAAAAAGCTGAAATTAGTACAAAGAAGCACAATGAGCACATTTGCTGAATTAAGCAGTAACAAGCTGAAATTATCACAGAAAGTGAATTCTGCTGAAAAAGGCTCAAATTAGCAATATAAAGTTGCTGAAATAAATAGCAAATAGACCTGAAAGAAAAGTTTAACTCAGTTTAAAAAAGCATTAAAAGTTTAAATTATCAGAAGAGTAGCTAAAATTTTGAAAAAAAAAGGAAAAAGCTGAAAGTATCACAAAATGTGAATTTAGCTGAAAACAGATAAACTAGAAATAACTGAAACAAGCATGAAAAAGAAAAAAAATTGTATAGGTCTTCTGGACGGGTTCTTCTTTAATGAAACGTTTCGTCTCTCCTCCAAGA